TGTAAAGTGTTGCACACAAATACGTGAAATAAACAAGCATATCAAGACTAATCCAAACGCTGACCAGAAACTTTTTAATGACGTTGCTTCGGAGGTACCATGTGGGTTTCGAGTATAGTTGGATCATACCCTTACTCTTCCTGATTTCATTTCCAAAACGTCGTTTCTTGCTTTTGTTAAAAGAACGGAAAGGGGTCACACAATCAAAATAGGAACATCGCTTAATATTGTTGTTTCGAGATTCTGTTACCTCAGAAGAACATTTACATTTACATTATTACACTACTACATAAAGAACTCACTCCTTGCGAATGGTTTTCGAGGACAACCTTGAAAATCACATGTGTGGAGTAAGCTCTTCGTGTAGTAATGTCGTTAGCTTTATCTGAAGTCGGTATATATATATATATATTATTGTGTAAATTTTTTTCATGTTTGAGATGCTTGGAATTGATGCTGACGAGCACCTGATCCTCTACGCACGAGAAATGTTTGGAGGGATGGTTCATGCTGCTAAATTCGCTTGGCTTTTCAAGGTTTCTTTTTCTGAGGAATAGCTCGCATCGTTGATGGTTCCTTAAGCCAGCTCTACTTTAGTCCTATGGTCACGAGAAGATTTCGCTTATTGATGGTGGATTCGACGAATGGGCAAAAAAGGGTCATCCAATCAGCAAAGACGACGTAAAATTGAAGGTAAGTTTCAAAAAAGGCCTTGATAAGCTTTTACGTGAAGGAATGGTAAAGGATGTGAATGCTCACTCCAATTTCGATGGAAGGTCCCCATGAAAATGGTAGAGTAGTCCGTAAATGCAGTGGGCATACTTGCCAGCGCACAGTGAGCACGGGCTGAATGTCGTGGCCTAGTGTTCGAATTCTTAGCTTTAAATGAAGTATTAGGTCCAGCAGTAATTATCCTCCGTTTTTTAGGCTCATGGCTCTTTGATTTTTTGCTGATTTTCTAAAGATTATGATGTAGTCTGAAAGCGCACAATCTCTTGTACATTTTGATGTACAACACTTGTGTATTTGCTTCACTCTAAAATTTACACGCGAACAAAAAAGATTGAGTGCAAGTTGAGCTTAAAAACGAATGCTACATCTGCTTGTGGAATCAATGAAGGCTGGATGAAGGCACGGTTGCAGAGAAGACTGTTCCAAGGCGTTTGTTGATTACGCATTTATTGTTGTTTTTGTTTGGTTTTGTTAATAAACTTATGAGTGAAATGAAAACGGCGGATAATTATTGCTCAACCTAATAATTACGAAGAAGTGCTCGTGCGCACCAAAAAAGTGCATGCCTTACTCGAAGCTGTAGCAAAGCTTTCGAAGAATCGAGGTGTAGCGCTTTTCACAACGAACGATGTGCTATTCGCTGATCAGTACTCGGAAGGCGCTCCGCCCCTAATCGCTCCACCCACTGGCTTAGTTGGTGGTTTGGGTGAGCTCTGCTGCAAGTAGTTGCATCCGTAGTTTTCATTCTGAATGGCTTATCACTTGACTGGCTTATCACTTGACGCGTTATCTATCAAAGGGTCATCTTTGTTGGCATGATGCCGTCGCGGCTACGCGCCCAACGACCTTTTTCTTGACCTGCGACGTGCTAATTAGCTGGTCTCTTTTTCCGTGTTTTCACGGGTTTCTCTTTTCCTCTGATCACTGGCCTACCAATGGGCAACCTTCATCCCCTCTGAGCCCCTACAGATCCTATCATAAACGCTCTCTCAAACCAACTAGTCAAAAATGGCATGGATTGAAAGTTTGGAAGGATTGTTTCAATGGACAAAGTAAAGGATCATTTAACTTGCCATAAAATCTCCTTTTGATGTATTGAGAAGAACTCGTAAAATGAAGCCTTCTTAAGGGAGCATCATACAACTGGTAGCGAAGTGTTTATAGCAGGTAAAGTGGCATTTGACTAAAAACGCAAAGAAACTATGCAGACATTCGCAATGAATCGTCTCCACTGAACAGCTGCAAGGGGGTTGTATGTGGTCGCTTCGGTTCCTTTTACAGTGCGCGCTTTGACTGTGGCACGCAGGATTTCTTGGAAAGTTTGGTCACTGATCTCCTCAGTGATTTCACTACGATGGTTTCGAAAAGAAGGTTCATTCTCTATAAGACCCCAGGTTTGATATACGTCAAATTTTCATTTCATTCAAACCCGGCGAACATTCGGTAACACCGGTGCTGCAAATTGTCCGAAGGTGCTGGCACCCGGATCACCGGTAGGCCAGCACCTTCAGACAATTTGCCATCTGTTTTATCGGTGTCCAGCAATCTATCAATAGTTCCAACAGTGTATTAGTATATTTGACGTTTTTTTGAGCTCAAAAAGGCAGCCATAACTTTGTGCCTTAGACAAATAGTAGATAAATCAAACAGCCATCTTTTCCGTGTGGTCTGTCTGCGTTGTCTTCTTTCATTCAGAAGTCGCAGCTCACTCACCTCAAAGGTCTCAAATAGCTTCGAGTACGATTTATTGCTCACAGCAGTCTCCTCTTTATACATCCCTGATCGCTTCGCTCACCTGACCTTGTCAGTAGATTCATGTGCCGGTGCGGGCTACAGCTCCCCTTGGGGTACGCTCCGCCGGCCACAACTCGTGTTACGGACCTAGTTACGAAGTCAGCCGTCCTTTCGGCAGTAGGCAGTCCTAATTTCGATTTTTAAGAGGAGGGGCCATATTTTAAAAGTTGAACGGGACGTCGTTGTAGTAGAGAAGGGTCGTTTTCGAAGTCTTCTAGGGAATTTCGTCAAAACTTCAAAAAAGAAGCAAAAAGTGGGCAAAATCAGTTCATTTGCCTTTTTTGAAACCCATACCCGTACCCGTCCTCTTCCCTGCGCAGCAGTAGTCGTTGGAGCAAAAATATGAAGACGGAAATGGAATGTGTCGACGGATCGTGAGGTCAGTTAGGGAACCTATACAGTGCGGAGGTAGGGTGCTTGTGTCATGGTGATGAGGACGTGATGTAAAAATTAGCGAGATGGGCCGAACGCGATAGAGTTGATCCTGAATTCGTAGATCGGTGGTGAGTGGGGGGGGGGTGAGAGTAGCAAGTTAAAGTTGTTAACGCTTATGCAAAAGATAGATCTTAATGGATTCTGTACAAAGAAGCGCCACTTTGTATATTCAGCGTGGAACATGGAAGGCCGGCGATAACATGGCAAAGTACAACATCACATTCGAACAACTAGAGGAGCAACATGGCGATAGGAAGTACATCGAATGGACGGATGATGTGAGGTGGCGAGCCATAACAGTAACAGCCTACAGTCTTAAGGTTCCAACCGTAGTGAGATTTTTTTCAGCTAAATCTGCTCGATTCACGAGTACGCGGTCAATTTGAAGGAACCGTTCCCACCGATTCTCCACCAAGTTAGTGTATGTAGAGTATTTATCAATAAATTCAAACAATCCCATCACATGAATCGCTCAGATGTGATCGGCACACACATTCCCGGTTTCAAGAACTTGCCCGCGGCTGAGCTGGTTGAGGAAGGCCTCATGCGAGACAACGAGGAAATTCGCGGCTGTGAGTTTCCTCGACTATTTCGCAGCCCTTGTTCATAGACGCTAAGAGGACAATTTGTAGTATGTGAAAAAAGTGTATATGAAGAGGGTAGTTGTGTGTTGGGTCGGAAGAAAGCTTTGCAACACTTACGTCGTGCTGTTTCTCTTACTTTTCTCTGTGTTTTGAGAATCTCTATGGGTGATAATTGAAAAGAGCGGAGTGTGCTGCGCACGGTGATTCAAAACAGCTGGCGTTTGCGTCGCACAATCGCGTCCTTTCGCGAGACCATCCGCGCGCGCTGATTTTGTACGAACTTGGCCTTAAAGCGAGAGATTACGATAAAGTGCGTATGCAGCGTGGAAGTACATGCACCATTGGAAGCAGTAGTCAGGGGCCCAAGGAAACGAAATGTTGCGTTTTTGTGGTCAAAGGTGCGCTAGTTGCAGCGTACAAGGCTTGCCATTCCTTTCTGAGCCCCGCCACGGTCTGTGCTCCGCCCCCAGCAGCAGCGCCCTTCGATTGCCAATGTGACGAGATATTCCACTTCCAGAGTGTATCCTATAACTTTTCATGGGATGCGTGATCAATCAAAGCATGATGCTTGCTGAAATGATAGAGGCTATCAGCATAACATGTGCAAACGACCTCCTAATTGGTTGGCTATATAGACATCCTCCATTATTCTGGCAGGTTCAATCGGACAGAAGAGGCGGCAGCAAGGCCAAGAGTCCCGTGATAGACTATGATGTGTTCTCAGATTAAGGGTCAATCAGAATGATGCTTGATTGCTGCGCAATGGAGCTGTACATTTCGACGGTAATTATCGGACAATTCGGAGTTATATTGCTCCAGAAAAGGTCGATTGCCATTTCCGATCTGGCATGTTGTAAAGCTCTTCAGAGATAGATTTTGCACATTGCTTAGCCAAACATATGTAAAGCCCGTATGTCAATGATTTTCTGTTAATACCTTTTCTGTCGTGGTTTCGCATAGTGATTATAGCTGAGAAAATCGTTTTTAACCGAGAGCATGTTTGTCTGCTCATGTTTCTAAAACCCAGAAAATGCGTCAATGGAAGCGATGCGGCGAGAACTCGCGTCTTGCGATGAATCCCTAAAGTGGTCTTCTCACGCATATGGTAACAAAATGGCTGTCGATGTGAGCAGAACTGGACGCAGAGATCGCACAATATTGCCCCTCTTTAAGTTGACCGTGCTGAATGACGAGTGTCTTCTGGAGCTGCTTGGAAATAGTCTCCGGAGCAATGCTCGGGAATCTGACGCAGCTTTTTCGAAGTTTTCAGAACACAATAGCTGTTCCTCAATATCTCCTCAAAAAGGCGAGAAATATGGAAAAAGGAGGTTTCGTGACATTGGTGACGACCGCCGTCACAGGCCTTTAGATTTTGCATGAACATTTGGACTTCGTCTCTGTCTCGTGTTTGACCCGACTTGGACTTCGTCGTCTGTCTCGTGTTTGACCCGACTACTTTGTTGGTGGTAATTAAAAGTGAGTTCCTCACGTGAACTGCAGTCGGAAGCGCCAGTGGCCCAGACGCGTAGATCCAAGGATTCCAGCGCCGATTCCAGCACTGCAACCTGGGAGGTAACTTTCAGAATTGGAAGCTCCAAGCGATTCGTTCACTGACAGCTCCTACCAAAGAACTGCACTGCTATTGTTGAACCATAATATGGGCAAATGGATGGGTTCGCCGGCACTATGCTTAAAACCATGGAAAAGTTTACTTTATCCAGGCAACGCTTGTCAACGAATTTGGAAGAAGGTTCAGCAAAAGTCTCCAAGCCCGTTATGGGACGTTCTGTCCCACCTGTTGCGTTCAGCAGCCCGGCACTAACAGACCTCCATCTGCTTCCGTTGCTGTCAAATCAACCAAAAGAGGGAGAGCTCAATGATCCGAACCTACTCGAAGAGGACTTCTTCAAGGTTTTTGCTTTAAAGCTCAGTATTTCCAGACAAACGCATCCACGAGTTACCTGCTGAAAGGCAATATGTTGGCGATTATGGTGGGGCATATATTTGTAAATTGCTCACTGTGCTAAAGAAGAAAAGTGAATTAGAAAAAATAGACAAATGGCCAAAGACTCCCGACAACCTAATAGATCTTGACGTATTTCGCGTTCTAATCAAAGATCATTCGATGCAATAGTCATGTTATCTATCTTGAAGGCACAACCCAGGCAGATACAGATTAATCGATTTCCTTCAGTATGAAGGATAGATTCCTAGAAGACTATCACAACAGGGTGAATAACGGTCGAGGATTTCCTCGAGCTGTGTCGAGCAGGGTCAAGCGAGGCGTCGAGGAAAATTTGGAAATACGACCCCCCTCCCTCCCCAGAGGCCGAAGTCCATGAAACGACCCTCTTCAAAAGCCGAACTATGAAAAGGTTGTTTAATTCTCCCCAAAACTGTTCATAAAAAAGCCCTGCTACCCCACCGTCCACCAAAAAATTCGTTTAAGAAGTACAAAAGTGAAAAAGTCAAAGAATGATCATTATTGATGAGTCCTACCAAACGAGCAAACGAGAAACGGAGCAAAAAACGACAAACTAGCCACTAAAAATGGCATACTATGACAACATCTCTTCTTTATTTATTTCCTTCACAAGACTTACCAAATTCTAGTACTACACAGAGTATGGTTCTCAATTTACACGTCCCCCTTCAGTTGAAAGAAGCCTTGTAACCGCCTTAGCCAGCTGTGTGTTGACTGACTTTGGCGTTGACCGTGGAGCAGCTTATTACTATTGAAATTTGAACAAATATTCAAATGATTATAACTTTCTTCAAATATGACGAATTTTCAATCTGAAAGCAGATTTGGGAGTTTTGTGAAGAGCTTTTCTAATCAGTACTGAAATTACAAAAAGTTATAAGAAATAACAAATTTAGATCAATTAACGAGGAAAATTCATGATGAGCACGAGTTTTTACACTTTCCGAAATAACTTGCTTCATTTTCGTCAAATCCGAAAAGTTAATATGTCAGACAAAACTAGAAGATTTTCTCTATCAAACGGTTGCTAAAGCAGCTTTATACGTCCAGTATTTAAAAAATGGCCACGTTGAGGATTTTTGCAAAATTAACGAGGAAAATTCGTGATGAGTGCGAGTTTTTACGCTTTCCAAAGCCATAACTCCGTTCAATTTTCATCAATCTGAAAGTTAATACGTCATCATAAACTAGAAGATTTGCTCTTTCAAACGTTACTAAAACTGCTAAATACGTCCACTATTTAAAAAATGGCCACGTTGAGGATTTTTGCCCGAGTACCGCCGAAAGGTACTTTTTCGCTGCATTGGCACTATTCAACGACTATAGCTCCTTTCAGGGCGATTACATACTGAAGTAGGAGCAGATTCAAAATCCTCGTGCTTTTCTCTTTGCAAAAAGTGTAAAATTGTTTAGCGGGTCTCAACTTTAAAGGTTACATGCTTGTGAATTTGACGCTGAAGGCTGCGTTTCTTGTTGAATAGTGTACTCCTCCCTGTAATTTCACATGAACCCTTTCAGAATCCTCTTGATTTTTTCCTGAATTGAGATTCTTTCTCCAGAGAGCCGTAGTTGAAGCGCGCGCAACCAACTGGGCCCACTCTGGGATGCGCCGTGTGCTTCACATCCCTTGGATTTGAGGACTCACTTGAAAGATAAAATATCCCTTGGAAAACGTGCGAATTTCGGATTCTTCAACTTGTGTGGTGATAAAACACTGAAGTAACTAACAGTGGAATGCTTTGGACTTCCCATGGAACTTTGAAAGATGACCTGGGTATATCGATAGAGTCTTGAACGCTGATTGCAAATAGGGACACTATAACTGCTACGTGAACTTTCTTTGAAAGTTATGAGCCTTCAAAGTTGGCAAGAAGCGGACGCCATTTCATGAGGACAGCTAAGCGCTGACGAGGCAGGGTGGCGGCGGCGCAGTGGTAGAGCTCTCGCTCTAAAGGCGGCTGGTCGTGGGTTTGCTCCCGGCCGGAGCCAAAGTTTTTGCACACTGTTTTTTGAATCCAGCAAGGGCTGTTATCAGGATTTGTGTCTTCTACTTCATTAATATTTGAAAGCCACTCCCATTTACGCTTGTAATATACGTCCCGAAGTAGAATAGCTTACCTAGAAACTATTTATTCTGGGAAATCGAGGGAATACGATAATAATTCTAAACAATTACAAATGGACACCTTATTCAACACTGATGAAACGACGCAAAAAAATGTGAGAAGCAGACATGTTGTTCACAAATAGCGCATCTTATTGATGCCGCCTCTACACAACCATTGACGAAACAGTCCACCATCTTGAGATCAAACAAGTAGTCACCAGGAGTAACAAACGCGCCTGGATGTTCGGCAATATATCCTGCTTTATACCACGAGTATCTTAAGAAGTTGGAGAACCTAGAAGCACAAAACATCCGATCCAAATCGATAACATGTCTCCACGTCCATTTGATCTCCCGCGTCAAACATTTGAACTACCCGCCCAGATAAGGCGCCTGTTTGAATGAATGAAAAAAATGGAATAACAACCCTTGCTGGATTCAAAAAACAGTGTGCAAAAACTTTGGCTCCGGCCGGGAGCAAACCCACGACCAGCCGCCTTTAGAGCGAGAGCTCTACCACTGCGCCGCCGCCACCCTGCCTCGTCAGCGCTTAGCTGTCCTGATGAAATGGCGTCCGCTTCTTGCCAACTTTGAAGGCTCATAACTTTCAAAGAAAGTTCACGTAGCAGTTATAGTGTCCCTATTTGCAATCAGCGTTCAAGACTCTATCGATATACCCAGGTCATCTTTCAAAGTTCCATGGGAAGTCCAAAGCATTCCCTTGTAAGAAACGGCGATAAGCGCGACACTTCTGAATCACGAAGATTTTGTGTGGGCGGAATCAATTGTTATTGGTAATACTCTGGCCTGGCATCGACTCGATCCTTGATGTTTGTCCTCCGACGATGATCCTACTGCATCAATCTGGCCCGATCTCTTCTCCCAGCGGGCCAATACGACCCCCCCCTGTAACCTGTCGAGGATTCAACTGCGATTTT